GGCTGGTTCCCCTACACCCGCAGGACAGCAGAGGTCAGGAGGGAAGACACGTGCTAGGTGAACCAGACCCCACCCCACTGGCTGCCATGATGGGGGGCCAGGTGCAATCGTGACCCTCCCAGGGCTGTTCACAGGAGAAACTAGGCAGAGGGCCACCTCAAGACAGGGACACCGCACTGCCCTACTGGCAGGAGCTGGGATGCCTTTGGGTGAGCTTGCAAAAGCACCTGGGCTGAGGTCCCGGGAGAAAGAAGTGGAACCCCAATCAGGCTCCCGCAGGCAAGTGACACCCCGTCTGAGCCCCCGCACAGAGCTAGTGGGTGTGGAACATGGCTGCTGGCCTTCAGTGTGGATGGAGCTCCCCTTCCAGCCCCCAGCACTACCTGTCGGGCTGTAGGGAGCATCATCTGAGCCTTTCCTCTTCTTGGAACGGGACTTGAAAACAGGACTGTCCTCATCCGACTCCAGGGAGGGGTAAACTAGAGCGGCAAAGGGGAGAAGGGCTGGGCTGCTGGTGTGGCCACAGGAGGGTGGCTGCTGCAGGCTACTGGCAGAGCTTATGACCGGCATCCCCCAGGCTGTCCCCAGGCTGCAGAGCACCAGCCCTCCTGGTGTGGCTGCCACACGCATAGGCACAGGTGGCCTCTGAAATTGTCAAGCCCAGGCCCCCTTGAGGTCCAGAGAGGGCCAGACAAGGGGCTCCATCCAGCCCCCATTGCCACCTGACCAGCTGTTCCTACCCCAGCCTGGCCACCGCACCCACTTGAATGCCCAATTCTCAAAACGTCTCCTCTGCTGCTATCAGAGAAGAAGAAAACATCTGACGTCCACGGAACTGTGCGTCTCTGAAAGACCCCAGGCTAACCTCAGCAAGTCTCTGGAGGAGGGAGACCCACACAGCAGCCCTGGGTGACTCACTGGGTACCTCGTCTCATTACAGGTTCAACCTCCAAGGCTTGTGACACCCGAACCCAGAAAATGGTGCCCAGAAAACGGAGTTCACTCCGCTGTTGATCTGTCAGACCATGGCAGGCCCCTCAGTGAGGCCTGAAAGTGTCCACCAGATAGGGCAGGTCCAGCCTCACCACGGGAGGGCTCTCCAGGGACAGGGTCTCCAGGACAAATACACTGCCCTCAGACCATCAGCACTGAACTGAAAACAGGCCCTGCACCATGGGGGCCAGCACGGCCCTGACCCTGAGGAGCACAGCGTACCCTGTGGGGGCTGGGACATCTATGGGCAATGGGCTGAGGCATGGAGGCAGGTCCTTGCTCCAAGTCCCCTCCCAGGCGGCCAACAGCAGCTCCTTCAGAGCCCGTTGGAACCCAAAGCACCAGGCCTGGAAGGAAGGGCTGTAGTGGGAGGCGAGGGGCTATGTCCCTGGGCAGAGGCCACAGCTATGGCCCATCCACCAACTCACTGCCCACCTCAGACTCAGGCCACAAAGCCACTCTGGGCCTCAGTTTCTCTGTCTACACAGACATAGGATGGACACAGTCTCAACGTGTCTGAAATGGTATAGCCACGTGGAGAATAGTCGGGCAGGTTCTCAGAAGGTGAAACAGGCAGCGACCCAGGTATACACCACAGGAGCACCATAGACACAGGCCATACAAAACTCCCTGCACACCAACATTCACAGCAGCACTGTTCACAACTGCCAAAAGGTGGAAGCCATCCAAGTGCCTATGGATGGATAAAGGGATAAACAAACGTGGTGTGTCCACGTGGTGGAATATTATTCAGCCATCAAAAGGAACAAAGAGCTGACATGTGCTACATCATGGATGAAGCCTGAAGAGTATGCTAATGAAAGAAGCCAGGCACCAAAGACCAAGCACTGTGCAATTCTAATCACGTGACACATCCTGATTTGGAATATCTACAAGGCAGCATAAATCAGTGGTTGCCAGGGGCCAGGGGAGAGGTACTGACTCTTAACAGGTACAGGGCAGGGTTTGCTTTCTGGATGATGAAACGTTCTCAAATTGGGTGTGATGATGGTGGCATGCACATCCCTCCAAATACACTAAGCACCACTGAGTTACATGCTTTTAAAGGGTGACTTTTAAGGTCTGTGAATCATATCCATAAGAGGGCCCGGCTCCCAACCCCCAGGTCTAGCACCCCTCCCCGCACAGCGGCACTCACCGTAGTCCGAGTCCTTGAAGCAGGCGTCCAGGTGGTCCTGCTCCTCCTCGTAATCATCCAGGTCCACACTGTTCTTGGCCGCCCTCTTCAGCAGTCGCTTGCCTGTGCTCTTACTGCCAGCCCCGTTCTTCCGGGTGCCATGGGCTGCCAGCGAGCTGCCCTTGGCCTGGCCGGCACCCCATGTGGTCTGCAGGCAGGAGTCGGAGGCCTGCAGGTTGGCCATGGACAGCATTCCCTGAATGGCTTCCTGTGTGCTGGGGGAGGCGGGGGGCTGGCTGGAGGCACAGAGAGACAGGCACTCAGCCCATGGCCCACACATCCTCCCACTCAGCAGCCAGCAGAGGGTGTGGGGTGGAGGATAGTGGTAGCTGATAACTGCCCCATGGAAAGAGCCAGCTATCCCCTTCCCCTACCCTCTGTTCCCACCCCCAACACCAAAGGAGGGCTGGAGGCCTTGGGACAGAGAGGGGCATAAAGAGAGAAGAGAGGGAGGGGATGAAGAGGGGCAGAGGGATAGAAGGTGGTAGACAAAGGTGCCATTACTCCTGATCTCTCCTACTATAAAGTCAACAAGCAGATTCCCCCAAGGACCCAGGCCACGCCCCTTCCTCCCTCTTCCACTCCAGCTGGTTTTGTGCACACCTCCACCCACTGTGGACTCCTGCGCTCAGCCCCAGCCCCAAGCGCTCCCTCCGCCATGTCTTCAAGGGCATCCTCCCATCTGGTACCTGAGATGGGGCAGCACAGCCCTCTCCCTCCCATGGCACTCGATCTCCCCAGGTGACCCACACCATCTTTTCATGACTGCACCTGCACCAGCATCCAGACCCTCACCCTTGCCCATCACCCCAGGCTTTTGTCCACCTGGGTCAGGATGGCCCACCCCGGCCTCTGGGGAGCCTGGCCATACCTCTCATTGCTCCCTGGGACCCTAGGAAGCAGGACCTGGGGTGGGGCACTGCTTAGCCCTCCTCCCTGGTCACAGACCCAGGAGGCCCAGGAGCCCCAGCAGCGGGCCCGCCCTCTGTGTCTGACATCCAGGCCCCCTCCTGCCTGCCCCATGTGCCCCCAGGGGATAGACCCACCTGCAGGGCTGCCAGACCCAGAAGCAGCACCCAAAAGTGCCAGTCCACATGGGCCCCTGGTGGTTCTGCATGGTCCCTGCTCCCTCCTCCAATTCCGAGAAGTATTTGAAGCATGTTTAGTAAGACATTAGAACAAGAAGGAGTCCCTGCTCAGAAATAAGGTTCCCAAGATTGAGGCTGGAGGGTGCAGGGAGATGGAGCTGGCCCCAGGAAGCACAAACACAGAGGGTGGTCCCCTGTGGTCCTGGGGGCCCACCGAGGCAAGCTTGGACAAAAGCCATCCTGTGAGGGGTACTGCTGGGCTCCAGGCCAAGGACTCTGCCCCAAGCCAGGAAGAGGCGATGGGCAGGCGCCTCTCTGGGCAGCCCTGCACGAATACCACTTCCCCAAGCCCTGCCCGAGACACACTGGACCGCAGTGTTTTGGGGTTTTGCAGGAAGCAAATGGATTACGGCTCCAAAGCCACAAACAATGGGAAGAATCAAGTATGGTCAGACCGCCATGGAGAGTCGGGAGCCTTCCACCGGACTCTCCACCTGCCCCAGCATACCCCTGACCCCCACTGTCCCACGCCATGACGGCAAAGGGCTACCCAGACCCAGCCAAGAGCACATGGCATTTGGTAGCGGTAATATCATTGTTGTACCATCATCACTGATGGTTTCTGAGCAGGGACAGGCCCTCGACCCAGCACTAGAGCCAGCAAGAGCTGATAGCTGGCCCCCCCATCCTCTGCCAGGCTCTCCAGTGCTCTACGAATGAGGCCCTTCCAGGCTCACCCTGAAGGTCTCAGGCACCCTCACCCAGCCTCATGGCCCAGACAAACACCTGGCTTCCTGCAGGGATGGGAGGGTGGGGGCCGGGACACACCATGAGGGTCCTCCGGGAGCCAACATGGAAGCCAGCCGCCTGCCTGTGCCATCTGGACCTCATGGTCCCAGCCCAGCTCAGCTGCAACCTGAGAGGGAGGGGCCTTGGAGCCCAGGGCTGCAGGCTGTCCACGTGGGCCAGTGAATCAAGGAGCGAAGTCTAACTAGTGCGCATGGAAAATAATACCTTAATCCTCCAATTATCATACCAAAATCCTCTCTTTCCCCCCCCCCCAGGCAGTAAACACTAAGCAACCCATCCACAAGAAAT